CAGGTTAATAGAATTTGTGAGACATACCGCCATTACTTGAAGAGGTACCAGAGTTTCAGACATGGCTTGTAATTCATACAGGGTAGCCCATCGAAAACGTACCGCAAGCCATTACAGGGTAGTACAGAACTTTTCGGCAAAATACAAAAACAGGTCAAATTTGTTTCTGAGGGGGACAACTTTTGGCTCAAAAAGCATACCAAAATCTTCAACCCCCTAAGTGGGGGTGCTATCCCCTAAATTTTTTCAAATGGGAATGGGGGTCAAGTGGGGGGTCATTAGAAAGGGCTTTTAATTCTCTATACATCGATTCTTACTTTTTGAAAATCGATCCATTATTTTAGAAAATATGCAGCTTTGAAAATACGAACAATATTTTTGACGAGAAATGCGAAAATCGATTTAATTTTACTTCAAAACTTACGGTATTAGCTTGGTAAATTCCTTCAAAAGAATTCGCTTTTTTTTTTTCTGATTTGCGAATTCTTTAGCCTGATTTTGGTGAGCAAAAAATTGTCCGCTTTTTGTTTCGTATTTAGATAGGCCACAAGAAGTTGCTAGATAACTGTCTTGTGACTTGTAGTTGAAGAGTACCAATACTGCCGAGTCTTTTAAATTGATTAATTATGGTGTACTCAATTCCAGAAAGAGTAGAAATTATTGAGCTTTTTTTCAAAAACAATGAATGCGGAAATCGGGTCGCCGAACTGTTCAACCAACGGCATCCTGAGAAACATGCGTCTGGAAAAATTGTTCGCGAATTGGTGGCCAAATTTCGCGAAACTGGCTCCGTTCATAACAAAAAGAGGCAGGTTGAAAATCCGGTACTAAATGAACCTACGGAAATAGCGGTATTGGGGCAAGTGGCAATGGATAGTACGCTGAGTACAATGCAATTGGCTACTGCGACAGGAGTGAGTCGTACAAGTGTCCAACGAATATTAAAAAAATACAAATTCCATCCTTATAAGATTCGGCTAGTGCAAGAGCTAAATGAAGACGATTTTGATCGTCGTTTGCAATTTTGCGAAATAATGACTGAACGAGCGATAAACGATAATTTCCTCTTTAATGTGTGTTTTTCGGACGAGTGTACGTTCTTCTTGAATGGTTTAGTGAATCGCCATAATTGTCGTTACTGGGCTGATACCAATCCAAGGATTTTCCATGAGACACACTCCCAACACCCCCAGAAGTTGAATGTATGGGCAGGTATTTTTGGAAATTCCATTGTAGGTCCTTTTTTCCTTCCTGGAAATTTGACAGGCGATATGTACTTGGATTTACTACAAAATGTCATCGACCCAGCTCTAACAAATATCATAGAGGACGACCCTGCTTACAATGAACACGAACTGATTTTCCAGCAAGACGGAGCTCCTCCACATTACTCGCTCAATGTGCGCAATTACCTAAATGAGACGTTTCCAGGACGCTGGATAGGACGAAGAGGTGCAATTGAGTGGCCCCCTCGGTCACCCGACTTAAATCCTTTAGATTTCTTTCTCTGGGGGCACATTAAAAGCAAAGTTTACAGCACTCCACCTGATACCTTGGAAGATCTGCGAGGACGAATCATTAATGTATGTCGCGAAGTAACACCGCAAGTGCTCCAGAATGTTCGACAACGGTTTGAAGACAACCTGTATCATTGTATGCAAGTTGGCGGACAACATTTTCAGCATTTACTTGACTAATACCGTAAGTTTTGAAGTAAAATTAAATCGATTTTCGCATTTCTCGTCAAAAATATTGTTCGTATTTTCAAAGCTGCATATTTTCTAAAATAATGAATCGATTTTCAAAAAGTAAGAATCGATGTATAGAGAATTAAAAGCCCTTTCTAATGACCCCCCACTTGACCCCCATTCCCATTTGAAAAAATTTAGGGGATAGCACCCCCACTTAGGGGGTTGAAGATTTTGGTATGCTTTTTGAGCCAAAAGTTGTCCCCCTCAGAAACAAATTTGACCTGTTTTTGGATTTTGCCGAAAAGTTCTTTACTACCCTGTAATGCCTTGCGGTACGTTTTCGATGGGCTACCCTGTATAAGATACTCCTCATTTCTCATCGCCAATTTCGGACCACCTGAATGAAACTTAGGAGCAAAGGTGATTATATTATAATATGCTGGACTGGTCTTATTTGGGGTTATTTTAAAAGTTCTTAAGTTAATTATGCAAGTACATAATTTATTTTTAAGAATATGTAAATCCTGCATTGACATGCAAAGAAACCACTTTCTCTAACAATGTAGGTAGTTTTCATGAAATAAAAATGAAATTATAGTAATTTTTTCCTTCGATTCCGGATTAAAACTATTTAATTGAAAATTACTTCATTATTGTTGTTGTGATAAATTATTTAACAATTGAATTATTATTGATCAAAACTGTTCATTTATATTTTTACATTTTAAGTTCATTTTTATTCCTAAAGTCTATCATAACGTATTTGCGGCCTACCATATTCCTTTGTTATCTTCTATTTCATTTATACCAGTGCGGTGGCTGGTGTAAAATTTAATTTATATTACAATTTAAACTCGTTCCAGCTGAAATTGTGTTCAATTCATTTCTACTTATTATATTTTTTTCCATTTATTAGGCATGATGACAGTAACCAAGAATCACTAATATTATGTATTTATCTAATGAAATATAAATAAATAAAAATATGAAAAAACGTATTTATTTTTATATTAAGAGCGAGATTGATAATATTTTTGATAGAAAAACTACAAAATGCAGCAAACCGCCATGATAGGTTGAACACCAATCAGAGCGAATTACATCTATGTAAATGTCATTTTGTATCATTTGTACTTCGACAATATTCCCAGTATTTATCTTCGTTTAAATATTTTGTGTTTCCCAACTACCATTTGCTTAGTTTTGAAAATAAAGCTCAATAACTGCGAGTTAATAAAATATCAAAAAGACTGTGATCAAATTTTATCCATGCATAAATTGGTACTGAAATACAAAGAACAGTCCTGCGACATATTTTTGAAAAAACTCGTATTGACTGATAAAGATGACATGAAAGTTGAAGAAGAGACGAGACCAATATCAGAGCTGTTTTTTGGCATGAGTTAAGATATGGCAGAGTGACGGCCTCACGAGCGTTTGAATTTAGTCGGTGCAAAACCAATGATGCAACTCTGATCACGTTAATAATGGGAGGGAAAATCTTAGACGCATCGGCCATGAAACGCGATAGAATGATGGAGGATGAAATGAGGAAAACTGTAAGTACCAGTTTGGGGAAAAAATTTAAAATATGTGGTATAATGCTTTGCAAAACTATCCCACGAAAGCAGGATCGCCTGATGGAATCTGCGAAGACAGTATTATTGAAATTAAATGTACCACGAATATGAAGACTGTTAAAAATTATGTGGAAAAAGGAAAACCGACCCAGAAGTTTTATGTGCAGATGGCAGCTACAAATGTATTTAACAGGGCTTCAAAAGGGTTATTTCGATGTAGCTGATTGTAACTACAGTACAAATAAAAAAGTAGAAATAATTAATGTTAGATTTGATGACAACTATGTATCAGATTTTCTTAATGTTTTAGTCTCTTAATGGAAAGATAATGTGCATCCATTATTGTACCAAAGTGCAATTTGAGGGTAAATAAAATGCATATACTTCCGAACATCATAGAACAGTTTTTCAAAATAGTTTACATTTTAATATGTTTAATAAAATCAAGCAAACGCGTGCTATACGTGAACTGTCTATAGATCAGTTGACAGAATTATACGATTTAGCACAGAGAGCTGTCAATGACAGTAATTCACAACCTTCATTTAAAATTCAATATGATATAGAGAAGATCTATGAAGAGTTTCAACGCCATCACGCTTCTATAAATACTGCTCTGTCCGTTACTGAAAACGCTGATCCGGCTCGAAGGACCATGTTGTAACACTATGGTTATTTAAAAGTAGTGGACTGTATTACTGCATAAAGGCTATAGAAAAAAAAAACGATGGTTGGAAATGGCTTACCACTGTTGTAAGTTATTCTTTTCTTGAAGGGCTCTTCTGGGTGTCTTGAAGACAGCAGCTTCTCTAAAATGCATGTGGAGTAGGAAATCGGTCAGGATACGCGCGCATTCGTCTTTATGTCAAGTCTTACTGTTTATCGAATAAACCGACTCACGAAAAAATCATTTCCAAGAAAAAAATACATAATATTTGAATATTTCAATGAATTAAAAATAAACAGCCATGTTGTTGCAAGTAAATTTATTTTATAAAGTTTAAAATTAATATTGCAGTGAACAATGAGACCACAATCAAAAGTGATAATTTGTGTAGTCATGTGGGTTATGCATATGACAAGAAACATTTTAATTACAGTTTGGAATTTTATCGAAAACAGTATGACTTTTAAGAAAGATAAAAGCGCAGCCTTATCATATACCATATTATATACTTTGCCATTTCGTAAAACAGTACTATATTTTTGAAAAAATTACAGTAACTTAAGAAAATATTGCAGTGTTCCTGAATATTCGTGTCTTTGAATTATTTGAATTTGTCATCTTTTTCATTAAATAATGTAGGCTTATTAGATAAAACCCTGTACCAAATTTGAATTGATTTGGCCAACCCGTTTGGAAAATATAAACAAAAAATATTTTCTACGAAAATTGTCTCTATCTCGTAAAAGAAGAGTTTCCATTTGTTCACATGATCTTATTTTATTATTTATTTTATAGAACTTTGCCTTTGAAATCGTTTACCTACATTTTTTTAGTACTCTGTGTAGTGTGATTAGATATTTATTTATAAAATTTTGCCTACATAAATCGAGGTGTTTTATAAATATAATTAATTATTTTCCTCAATTTATGTATAAATGTTGGCCTCTTAAAAAGAAATCCATAGATATCCGGTAGTTGCGTATATGTTTTTTTCTACATCACGTTAGGATTAAGATACCAGACCAGATAGGACATTTCGCTTATCCCTTTCATACTTTTTAGGCAAAAGCTTCACGCTGACGATCATCGTATCGACGTCTCCCCCTCAGATAGCGACTTACAGCAAAGCGATCAAAGTGACAGTGGACGGTCCCAGAGAACCGAGATCGAAGACACGCCAGCAGGGGTTTCATCATTTCCCTTTTGGGCCTAGGCCATTCGCACCTGATCCACTTACGGGCGGCCTTCCGTTCAAATTGAGCGGTGAGTATAACGTCCGCCTTCTATTATCCCAACTGTAAGTTATTACCTGCTCGAAGTAATGATCGTTACTTGTTAAAAAAATACCACACAGTATTATACCGAGAGCATTAAAAGGTATTAAGCTAAATCAAGTCTAAAAAAATCTTCAAAAGCAAAAGAGGACACTTGAAAAAGTAATCCTTAAAATACAGGATGAGGCCACCTGATCAACTGTTTATTATGCTAGTTTATCATCGACAATAAGGTGATATTATGAACAAGAAAAGATAAATCTAAAGGTTTATATTATTTAAAAACGTCTATTTACAAGTTCTAAATTTCTGTTCTGTACCGCATAATTCTCGATAAACTAAGAAATTTTATTGTTTTAAGTCTACTACACTTTGCGACATGGACAATGCACTGAATTAAAATCATTAAAATTAATCGATCGACAGTTGACAGACGATTCTGTTACTTTCGATGGCGGTTCCGACAGATTTTTGTGTATTGGAACCGATTGATAGCTTATAAAAAGTATATTTTAGAACTAATAAATTAACAACCTTTTTCGAGTCGCGCTCAAGAAATGGTGGGTTCCTTAATAAACTATTTGAACAGGAATGTGAAAAAGGAGGGCCACTTCCTCCACTTACCATTGTAAAAGACGTAATTTGAAATTGTTACACCAAGTATGAACTGTATAAATATTATTAACAATATTTACACTTTATGTCAAAAATGTTAGGTTATGTCTGATAAAATTATGAATCATATCCCACATTTCTATATGAAAATTAATTTCTTGACTATTTCCTAAATTATTTAAATGTACTACTTAATCTGTGGTTCCAGGTTACATTTCTATTAAACTGGATTCGCTATCAAAAATTAGTTTTCATAATTCTGAAAAATTTTACAACTGTACTATTTCGCACTGTGACGTCGTTGCAAACTTACTGTAGAAGGACTTTTTTGGTTACCAGCCACCAGTGACTTGATTGTGTGTAAACGTCATCCTAGTTAGGAAAAGGTACTAATACAGCATTAAGAAAAGTTATTAGATACTTTGGTAAAAGTGCAGTTGTCAGTCTTACTTAATATGTTATAGTTATATGTTACAATTACTGTGCAGTGTACTAAATCGTAGTTAAAGTAAACGTTCAAAGTGTCGTCCTGGTATCCGGATAAAGGCAAGTCTGTTACATTGGTGGATGGATGTTGCGAAAGTATTTATTTATAATGTAATAGATTTAATAAAAATTTCGTTACAATTTCAAATTTTGATTTTAAATTAATATCATTTCTAAAATTAGATTAAGTCATTGAAAAGACTTACCAAACTCGATATTTTGGTGTAAATAATATATTTTTTAAGAATGCCAAGTCGTAAGCAAAGTGTAAATAAAAAGTTCCTATCACCTTTCAAAGAATTGCAATTTAAATCCAAGCATCAAAATTTTACAAGAATAAAAACAAATGAAAATAACAAACACTTTATCTAAAAAAACATCTTTGAACCATAGGCGTGCATAGGCAAAAGTTGGGGTAGTCAATCGCACTACAGAGATCTTTTGACTCTGTTAATGTTTTGATTTTTTCCAATTACAAAAAAGGTATACCTACTGTTATGAGATTAAAATTTATTTAAAATTTCAGCGGTCTTAAGAGACAATAGAGTTAATAACAATAATAATAAAGATATTTTCTTTTAATTTTACTCTGAGACTCTGTATCTTGAAAAAGCAGGCACTGCAATGTAAAATAGTATTATTTTCGGCCAAAAAATCTGTGATTAACCGATTAACCCATTTGTTTTTATTGTAGTTAATAAAAATTACCTTTAGCAAAATATAAACTGCAACTGTAAATGATGCAATTTTACCTTTAGCAAAATGTAAACTGCAGCTGTAAATGATGCAATTTTACCTTTAGGTTGTCGATATAAATGAAATTGTACTGGTATATAAAATATTACATTAAAATGCCAAAAGTTAATATTTCCTATTCCATTAGAACCTTGTTTAGAAATAGTTCTGACTGACAGGATAACCCAGAACTAATGGTTGGCTGCCATTACAGAAGAGCAAATAGAAATCTGCAAGTAATCTTTATGGTATAATTTTAACTTAAAATTCCTATTTGTAAGTTTATTGCCCTAAGAAGAACAAAATAGATATAAATCTGATTTTTGGGGAAATTCACAAAGATTCGAAATTAGCAGTACGACTTTACAGAGACAAATGATTTATGTCAATATAAACATTGAAAGTATCTGGTTTTCCACGTCAGTGTTGATAAATTCAGTAACAAACTTGGTCGAACCAATGTTTTTATCTATACATCATTTTATCGAAGATCTTTTTAAATAAAAGTAGTTGAGAAAACTACTTAAACTTAAAAACTTCATCATGTCGTAAAAATCTCCGCTGCACTTTTCGTTTTCATATAATGGCTGTCATGTTTTCCATGGGGTAATTTTCGTAAACGCAAATAAACCGGAAAAGACAGGCAAGTCGATTAAATCGGTGCAACACTAGATCTGACTATTTATAGGCCATTTTCCAATTATGGTGTCGATACTGTATTTAGAAATTAAATGAGCAAAAATATAATTGTGATTATAATAATTACACTCATGAAATTGTCGAATTCTTCAAATGATACGGAGATATTCTGATTTTCGGTTACAAACTGTCTCCAAGGAAAAATAACATGTCTAACATTTTGAAGGATAACCTGACTGCGCCCTTCGTCACGACATAAAATTCTATTAGTTAAGGTAAGTTTTTTACGTTAAGTGAACTTAATTACTTAAAACTCTTGAACCATAAGAAACTCATAAATCCTTTATCTTGCGTATCCCATTATCCATCCGAATTAATTGAAATGTTTACGACTGGGCCATATGGGTTATAAAAGTCAGATTTATACCGATGCCGTAACGGGTGAAGCAATATAACAAGCTCATTATCCTTTCGCGAAGATCTAATCTAACTATACAGGATAATAACTAACTAGTCCCCCGCTCCTCTCTTCTCCAACATAACCTATCTCATTAATTACATCTGCTAATTATCAATTAAAACACTAGAGTGAATCACTTTAACGACTCTACGATTACCGCATCTCGCTTTAGCCTTCTTAAGGCTTCATGAAATTTGTTCGGAAAACCCTTCAGTTTATTGTCCTTGACTGGCATATCTCGTTTAAGGGATATATTACGTTTTAAAGCATATGACGGCCTCAGCTGAATTTCCCTGTTCTGTCCCTCAAAAAAAATCTAGTTTGTCTTAAATTAATCGAATGATTCTTTTCTCACGACTAGGAAATTTATCATTTTCCAGAGAGAAAATGTATTTTTCTTAATAATTGTAAACGTACTAAGCTAATTCAAACATATTCAGAAAATATATAGTTTACTGTGTAGAATATATAACCAATAACTTTTCTGCGTAAAAATTAAGAATAAGAAAATCAAATTCAAAATGCGTGCCTAGCGACTTGACATCCATGTCGTTGATATGAAAAGTCAAGCAACGCTGATCGCGGTAAGAACTTGGATGGGTGTCCATCCTGGGAAGGTTCGCGATGCTCGTCCGCTTTCTAGTGGCCTGCATCTTGGTGTATTCACAGAAGTTATACAAATTTAGGCAAGGTTTGTATATGAGGACATACCATCATTCGGAAAGAATGTAAAACCGGTGGTCTCTTGTATAAACAATGTTATATAAGCAAGAAAATATCCCTACTCCGCGGCAAAGTGGAGATATGCAAATATGATCGTAAAAATATTTACGGCCTCCTCATGTTCTTGCTATTCCTATCTTTACTAATAAACTATTTCTACGTACATAAATATTGAGCTTTTACTGAGGATGAACACTTTGCTAAATGCGTATCCAAAGAACCAAGTTTGAGCAATTTCAATTAGCTAAATTTTACGTCAATGTTGTGTTGTCCGTCCTGTTGGAGAAACAATGATCTAGAATTCGGGAGTATGTGTCTCTTAACAGAAGCAGACTCAGCTTACTAATGTAAATATGAGCATGCACACAAAATAAGCCACATCACAACAGTGTTAAGTAAATTTAATTCATTTCATTTGCCTATTATATTTTTAAATTGATCTTAAAAACGCGCATATTTCGATATAATAACTTCCTCAGGATTGTAAATATGCTGTAATTTTTTTGGGATTCAATTGTTGGAAAATATTCTGATAATTTGTTTTAGTTCATCTAAAGTTCTTGCAATTTTAACACTGGCTGCAAAATGTTAGAACCTTTTTAGGTGCACAAGTGTTCAGAAAAAATATATATTGAGCGCTATTACCTTGCTGCGATTGATTGTAAATTTCGGTATTTACCACTTTGCCCTCCTACAGTGGAACGTCCGAAAAACAATAATCAAATTTACATTTCTCTCAATTTTCAATGTTAATTTAGAAGAAATTATATGAATATAAAATATACGATAATAAAATTATTGAAAGAAATAAAGATTTAGTAGATCATAACGTAATAAAAACCTTACAATACAGTTTTTCAAAATTTGGTCCCTAAAAAAACGGGAGCGTCATTTAGAAAATATTAGGCTTTCATTTTTTTACTTATTATGTTGTTATGTTGTACATCTATAAATTGGTACACCCAATATAAATATTTAAATGCACACGCTGGTTACAATTTACAAACTTATAAAATAAAAATACGGCACATCCGGAACAAACTCTAGCAGAGGATTACAATGAAAATTGGTAAAATAATCCAAGTACGACTCTGTAAAGTGCCGCACCTCCCGAACTCTAGAACAACTAGGCAACCAGCAGTGCCCATTTGTTTTATTTCGTTCTATATGGAAACTGGTGTAGATAAATGTGAATGGATGGATTAAAACAATAATATATCCGTAAGTATATCTAATTTTAAGTTACCTTAACTGCCGCAGTTGAAATATAATGTACAGGGCGTCCCAAAGTTCGCGTCTAGGGCCCATAACAGACAAACGAAAAACGACAG